TAAGCCAGCTTGATACTTTGCGCAATCCAGCTTCAGCAGCGCAACGAGCTTCCTCCCAAGTTTTACCAACAAAAACTAATGCTGTATCGTCAGCATACGAAATAATGTGTCCTTCATTTAACTTTAAGTTGCACAAGTCATTGATGTACGCTAGGAATAAGGTAGGACCAAGAACACTGCCTTGGGGAACACCATGTAATATTTTAAGGTCGTCGCTAATGTATTTCCCTACTTTTACTCTTTGAGTTCGATAAACTAAACTATTATGATAAAGCGTAAACACACACTTCTTTGTTGCCTTAGATGACAGCAATTACAGCATATTTTTGAATAATTCTTCGTTTAATAAAAAACCCTACACTTACATCACGCTTTAGGCTATATATATTTTACGCCAATAAACTTAGGGGTAAATATTTTGGATAAAATCCCTAATATAGGAAAGAGATCATAAGTTGCTGCCATTAAGGAAACAAGATTGCCAAGATTGTCATGTGAGTTTGACATTTGCTATTGATAATTTGACAAATGAAAACAATAAAATAAAATTTTCATAATTTCATGCGGATGAAGCCGCACGGTGACAGCTAGTGTTTAAGTAAAGTTACAAAGAAAATAAACATAGAGACAATCTAGTAATATTACCTGGGCTTCTATCTTTATAGAAAATTTTGATCTTAGCTTTTAAATTTTTCTTTGTGCAAACCCTTGAAAGAAGTAAAATTTACTCTAGCGGAACTTAATATTACACTTCAAAGCTCTTATGTAAGAATATGCTTTAGCCGACGAGAAAACTTTATGAAATTTTAATATCAGCCCAACAGAACTTTGAAATTTAAAAATCCATTGAAATGTTGAGTGACGCTTTGCTATGAAACAGCGTCGATTTTTTTGTTCGTGCCGATTTTTACACGAGTAATAAAAATGAAGTTGTGTTCAATTTTGACGAATTGATGGAAAATGTTTAAAGTAAATCTATTTCGGAATATCATATTCTCTTTTATTTTTCTTAATAAATAGATGGGTAATTTGTCAAAAATTTTAAGCTCAAAATAGAAATCTTTAACCAATTTTATAAGGCATCCGATTTTATCATCCAGATTTTTCTAATATAGATGGTAACTTTTGGTAAATGATTTACTTACTTAATGCTTATAAGACGTGGCATTTTGTTAGTAATATTTGTACTGGTAAAGATAAGTCGCGCCAGTCGAGGAGTTGCGGAAACCGTAGCCCCTACTACTATTACTGGTACAGATTAAATTTATATAACATAGACTATCCACGGATAACATAGTCGGTTCACTAGAGGGCGCAGGAGTGGATAATATGAGGTGAAACTTAGCTATACTTTCTCCAAGGCCGAGCCGACGCCGCGGCGCCTACCGCGGTACCATAATACACGGATAATATCATACCACGAATACTCTGATACATTTATGTTTATGTTGGATACTTTCAATTTTTATCCAAGGCCGTATCCGTCTTAAATAACATCTGACATTTAATGGATATTATTTAGCAGACAGGATGTGAAGCTTGTTAAAAACGCTTAGTAAAGGACGTAAAAAACATTCTAATACTGGAAATGTATATTATGAAGATATTTAGATGGTATTGATAATTACCAATAGCTTAGGAACATTTAGTTATCGTTACTCGTTTTGCAAATTGCCCAAATTTGGTTGTAGATAGATGACAATAAGGGCCTGTCCCACCATATTGTAAATTGTCTGATAACAATCAAACGTGTAAAATATGTGATGGAAATATCGGGTTTTGTTGCCCTATCTGACAGTGATGTCATTTTTAAGCTATCTGAGCCTCTATCAGCCAGTCGTGGGATAGGCCCTAAATGTTTTATTTTAATGACACATACTACGAGAAAAAATGAAAACATAAGATCAAAACAGCATTCACTAGCCGGCCTTGAGTTGCAAGGAATAAATATTAGCAGCTTTAAATTTGAAAGAATTACCTACCAATGACTCAATATCCATATAAAACACCCAGTTATTAAGGTATCTGGATAAAATTAGCTTATTTTTTAAAGGATTTTTTTTACTATTTTATATATGTCTCAAGTATATTACGATTTCTTATTTAATGTGTTTACCAATACGAATATATTATGATACATTTAATAATATTTTTAATATGAAAGAAATTTAAATTCATAACATAGTCGTGACTGATTTGAGTATCCATATTTTAATATCCATCTAGGAGATGCCTTCGGCTACAATATTTCCCAGACATTTTTCTCGGAGAAAATATTTTGTTATGATTACATTACCTAACGTAAATATAGCTTTGGAATTTTATAAGGAGACGCAAATATTTTCTGCTGAAAATATTTATTATATTTTTACATAGTTAATAGGTTTTGTATTTTTTAATGAAAAACTCTGATTAAAACACTACTACATACTTTAAATTATGTGAATAATAATGAAAAATAACACATGAGAATGATTTCACAATACACGTATCTATACTTAACAATATAAACGGAAAAGATTTATATTTTTAGATTTTGTATGTATTGAAATAACTCCAAAGCGAATGGTTCGATTTCAAAAATTCTTTCACCATTAAATAGCTACATTATTAGTGAATAATATAGATTTGATTTTTATGATTTTTCAATTTCATGCAGGCGAAATCGCGAGCAACAACTAATTATTTAATAAACAGAACACTTTCTTATATATTTGTTTTATTAAGAAAAACTATTACAAAAGTTGAACAAGCTATTGCACGTAGTCTATTATAGGAGCTACACAATGTCGCCATATCTATGCTAGTCAAATTAATATTGTAAACAACAAAGTCTTGTTCTTTTTTTGTATTTTTTATGTATTGAAATAACTCAAAAAGGTCTGAGCTGATTTCAAAAAGTATTTTACCAATAAAAGCTTCGTTATTAGTGAGTAACATAGGTTTTTTTTTAATTTCACGCGTGCGTAACCGCGGACAACAGCTAGTATTTATATGTAGCTATAAACAAATGAAAATGTTTAATTAAAAATTATATCTTCTTGAACACATGTAATTCTTTATGTAACATTGAAGTTATGTATTTCAGTTTCAGCGTTACGTTGATTATGCAGATTGTATTTCAACTTCGGAACGAATTGTTTAATTTGTTTACAGCACGGTCAGTATACCGGATGGCTGGAGATGTCACGCTTTCGCGGAAGGTCGGCGTTGGCGTCGGCCGCGACGGTTAGCGTTTCTCTTACGCCTTCAGACATATCAATAACTTGTTGCTACTTGCGTAACTCCAAAGGTGCAATGTTCGCTTGTTTGTTTGTGCAGATTTTTTAAAAGAAGGGTTTTATAAATAAACGGTAGAGTATATCTCTCTACCGATTTATTAATCATACCAATATTATAAATGCGAAAGTTTATATAGATGGATGCATGCTTGTTAGAGTTTGTAGCCTAAACAGCTGAACGGATTTCGATGAAATTTGGTATACATGTAGGAGATAGTCCTACCAGACTATCTC